ATAAGTTGATGACTATCAAATATCAATCGATAAATATGTGTCAATTTGACGTATATATGATAATATATATAAACATATAATAAGACGTATTTTAAAACTAGAAAACGTTTATAACGCGTACGTATGCGTATCCGTATGCCGAACGTTTAATATGCATAGTAAGCCGTATTTTATAAAATCCTAACGTATTATACACGAACGTACGTATTTACGTATTATACGTTTGCCGTATATTACTAACCATACGCACCATTTAATTGCAAATGTGGTCAAATTAGTACGTATAATTGACAGGGTTAGTTACGCATCAATGCAACGGTAATTAGTGTTCTATTTTGACTTTGTGTAAAAATAAGAAAGTGTTAAATTGTACTTGACTTCCAATTTTGCCTCTGATGTGATGAGTAAAAGTAAGATGTGATGGGTTGAGTATTAGAAAAAAAAAGTATGATGTGATAGGTAGGGTACGAAAAAGTAAGGGTAAAAGTGGTTTTTTAATACAAAGTGGAAGTGTTTTGTTGGAAGTGAAAAAAAATGAAAGATGAAGTGTTTTTGAAAACGAATGGAGTATAATATAGCCCATTTGTAAAAAAATTAATGCATGTATGTCAAATAAAAATCATGTTTTATAAAATGTAAATATTGAATATCTACCTTCCGGTCTATGAGAAGTGCGAGAAATTCTATATTTCATATGTCGACTTTAGGACCACGAAAGAACAACTGAATTAGAAAAAATTAGAAAATTAGACCGGCACATTACGTGGTTCAATACTTTCAAAAAATCAAAAACAAAATACTTAAAGTTGAATGCTTGGTACCAAGTTTTATGCAATCTCGCACAACGAAAACATATTGAGAAATTTACTTAAATAGACTAAAACATAATGATTTTCCCAATATAGGACTATATATTTTTATTTCCTAATGTAGGATCTTTAGTCATTATCAAGTAGTCATTATTTAAGTAATTGTTCATCATTATTCGACATTATTTCTTCCACTAGGTCATTATTAAGTCCTATTTAGGGAATAAAAAAGTTTAAGTCCTACATTAAGAAAGTCATTATGTTTTAATCTTATTTAGTCTAAATTTCACAAACCACATATTTAGTATGCTTACAATTTTTCATAATATGTTATTTTGTTTAAAATAAATAAATAAATTGAACAAGAAGATCGACCATCGTGATGTGCAAGGAACTGAATGATTTATTTTTTTTGTTGCAATGTGATTAAACGCACAGTATAAGAGCACTGGTAATACCCGCAACGCCCCACGGCATGAGGGGGCGTTAATGGGGGCGTTTAACGCCCCGGCGGCGTTAACACCACCCCCCTCTGGGCGTGATCGGGCCTGATCGGCACTGCGTCAAAGGAATGACGCGGCGTCATTCCACTCCCCTCCCCCTCCCAACAGCTTTATAGCCGTTTGCACCCATTTTAAAAAAAAAATTATTATTTTTTCTTATAAATTCAAACCCCCCCTCTCAATCTCCAACACTTTCTCTTCTCAATCTCTTCTTCTTCCCATTTTAAAATTTGAAATTACTCTCTTTCTATTCAACATGAATCCTTCCGGCTCCGGCTTCGTTCCCGACAATCTCACCCCGAGTGACGCCGCGATGTGGTTCTACCAAGAGTGGGGCGATCGACCGCCGATATTCGAGACGCAACAATCGGGGTACGTCGACCGAGATTCGGTTCTGGAGACTCAATTGGCGTCGGCTTGGGTTGACGTCTCCGAGCATCCTATCATTGGTAAAAAAATTTATTTTTTCTAATATATTTATATTTTTATTTATATATATTATATTTAATTGTGTCAAAAAAAATTGTGTAATACTTTTTTAAAGGTACGGAGCAAACGAAGGATGCGATGTGGGATCGTATCGAGGAGAAGTTCTTCACGGCGATAAAGAAGGACGGCTCCTACCGAACCCGGGACCAACTCACTTCCAAATGGAGCCACATCAACAAAAAAGTTCGAAAGTTTATGGGAGTTTACGAGGAATGCTCCCGGTCCCAGAGGAGCGGCACGAACGACGCCGATGTTCTCCGGCTTGCCACGACCCGGTATCAAGACGACGGGAACCAAGGCAAGGTGCGCATCGATCTTTGGAGGATTTTGAGTCGTTCCCCGAAGTGGCAACAACTCAACAATCCCGACGGCGGACTGTTCCGGACCGACGGCGGATCATTCCGGAAAAGATCCACCGTCGACGCCGAGGTTGAGGTCGACGAGACTATCGGTTCTACCGATCAAATCCCTCCCTTCAACGTTGCGGATTCCGATGACGAAGACCCTATTCCACGGCCGATCGAAAGAAAGAAGGCAAAATCCATTGCCTCTGGTTTGGGAGGGTCCGCCTCTTTTTCCGCTTCTCCCCGCGACGAAATCGGCATGGCAATGGTTGAACAACTTCGGGCGTTCAATCTCCGGGAATAGGAGAGGTTAAAGCTAAAGGAGAAGGAGTTGAAGATAAAGGAGCAAGAGATCGAGATGAAAGTCATGCAAACCGACCCCGAGACGTTGTCGGAGTTTGGACGAATGATCTACGAGCAAAGAAAGAGAGAGATCAAGGAGAAATATAAATTACCTTAGTTTTTTTTATTAATGTATCGTTTTTTTAAATTACTGTCACTTTTTTATTTAATTAATGTATTTTTTTTATTATTCGTGTTTCAATTTAATTAAATAATAAATTAATTTGAATTTATAAATTTAAATTTAGAAGATGTATATTTAAAATGTAAAAAATGAAGGTTTGAAGCCCCAGTTTGAAGCCCCGGGGCTTCAAAACCATTTCCAATGAATTTTGGGTGTAAGTTAAAGCTGATGTGGCAGAGAGAGAAATTTTGAAGCCCCGGTTCATGACCATTACCAGTGCTCTAAGTTGTAATAAGATTGAAGCCCTAACTAACCAGCGTGTACACGTGGCAAGACGTGATTCGTCCATCCCCCGAACTAATTGCCCAATCTTTCTTTCTATATAAATAAATACTCTCCTGAAACAGTGAATTCCAGTCAAGAAATTAATTTCCGTAGTAAAGCAATCCGGAAATTAATTTCCGTAGTTATTAAATCATGACGGCGCCGTCGGAGATACCGTGGACCATCGACCCGGAGATGGAGAAGTACTTGAGCGAGCTGCCCTCCGGCTACCGGTTCCGGCCGACGGACGGGGAGCTAGTGGTGGATTACCTGAGAAACAAGATTCTTCAAGTACCCATGCCTCCCAATAGGATTCGAACCTTCAATATCTACAATTCTCACCCCTTTGAACTGTATCGTAAGTTTATACGGAGTATTAATCAGAAATTTTTTTGAAAGAGTATTAATCAGAAATATTTGCACTAAATAACACTAAAACTTAAATAATTTTTTCTAAGTATTAACTCCGTTTCTTAAAACCCTTCCTCTTCCATTTTTTTTAAAACACTTCCCTTTTCTATTAAAAAACAACTTTTACCCTTATTTTTTTATACCATACCTATCACATCATACTTTTTCACTAACAATTAAACTATCACATCTTACTTTTTACCCATCACACCAGGGCAAAATTGGAAAGTCAACTAAAATTACACTTTCTTTATTTTTCCCCAAAGTCAAAAGAGGAACCGTTTTGAGAAACGGAGAGAGTAGCATTTAAAATGTTTTATTCTCTAAATAGCACTTAATAATGTCCATAATGTCCAGTGATGACAAATATTTACTTGAATAATGACATGCATAATGACTAAAAATGCTACATTGAGAAGAAAAACAATGTAGTTCTATTTAGACAAAGTAAGTATGTTTTAGTGTTATTTAAGTAAATTCCCCACCTATTAATTATCTTCTTGTCATGTTGTTTTGAAATTCATTTTTTTAAATGAGAAATTTACGTACTCCCTCCGTCCCAAAAAGAATGAGATGGTTTGACTTTTTGGTAAATTAAAGAAGAGATATTTTGGTATTGATTTTCCAAAAATACCCTTGATGTGATGAGTAAAAGTAGGATGTGATGTGTAGATTATTAGGAAAAATGTATAATGTGATAGATAGGATATGAAAGAGTAAGGGGTAAAAGTAATTTTTAATAGAAATGTAACGGATTTTATGGGACGCAGTTTTTTCTAAATGTAACAAACTTTTTAGGACAGAAGGAGTATATAGTTATATTAATTTCGCCATGCAAACAATTCAATTCGATTATTTATTACATGAATATATTGCCATGCAGAGATGTACAGGACGATGGCAAGGGAGAACGCGTGCTATTTCTTCACGAAGAGGAAGAAAAAGTACCCTAAGGGGACAAGAACGGCCAGGACCGCCGGACAGGGGTTATGGAAGTCGACCACCGTCGAACTGGCGGTGGTGGTGGGGGAAACCACCGTGGGTTAGAAGAGGTCGCTTGTGTACCACCAAGGACCGGCAGCCAAGAGTGTGAAAACCGACTGGTTGATGCAAGAATATACGTTGAATTATAATTCTCTTCCGACCCCTATCACTAAAAGGGTAAGCAATAATTTCACCCTTTAATTTGTTGAGCATGTTACTGTTAAATATGTTAAGCATATTTATTATACTCCCTCCGTCCCTAAATAGATTACAATGTTTTTTTCTCTCCTCTCGATAACTTTTGTTTGTTTAAGCGATTTTATCAAGTATTTGATAAAATTAAATATTCTTGTCACCTTTGTTTTGTAGAACTTTTGATGTAGTTTTTTAATATGTAATTTTTATAGCTTATTGATATACCAATTTGTAAATAAAATGATTTCAAAAAGTTGGAAATTTTACTCCGTAACCCGCAATTTGTAATCAAATTGGGGACGGCGGGAGTATGTAAAATTTGCACTGAATAGGACTAAAACATAAGTCATTTTCCAATGTAGGACTTAAACTTTTTTATTCTGTAAATAGGACTTATTAATGACTAGTGAGAAGAACAATGTTTAAGTGATGTTAGACATCTAGTTGATTAATGACTAATAGATAATGACCAATGGTCCTACATTGGGAAATAAAAACATATGGTCCTATATTAAGAAAGTCATTATGTTTTAGTTCTATTTAGGTAAATTGCCTTTTATTATACGGAGTATATGTTAAGTATATTCCTTGTATCAATTATATTACATTCCATAATTGTATAGGATCCATATTTATTATTGTTTCCTTATTGTAACCCCCTCCACTTTGTATATAAAGGGAGGTAGAATCATTGTATCAATTATAGAAAATAATAATTCTTCATGGTATCAGAGCCAACTAAAAAGATAAAATTAGGTACGAGTACCTGATGACCGGTAATACTATAGAAGCAACTAAATATATCAAGAAAAAACCCAACAATACTAAGTAAAAATAGGTAGTAGAGATCCAATGGAACTTTTAAGTACTAGCAACTTATTCAATTTAAGTTTACCTTTGCTTTTTGTAAATTGGATCCAACAAATATGAAATAAACAAATAAGATAAAGGGCATGTTTGGGAATAGCGTTAGCGTTTTGAGAAGGCTATCTACGGGCAGCGTTTAGCGTTAGCGTTTTCAAAGTGATCTGCACCGTTAAAATTTTATCCAAAACGCTAACGCTAATCTCTAACGCTATTCCCAAACAGGCCCAAAATACAAAAGTGTCCAAGGTTCACCACATCAAATGAATTAGAAAAAAAAAGATATCAAAGTAAGGGATCAAACATCTATGCTGCTGTTTTTGTACCTGCAAGTGAGACCATGAGTAAACATTCCTTGTGCTTCTTGTAGTTATGCATCAACATTGAAGAAATAATACTGGCATCTCTACCATGATATGTCACTGCCTCCAATTAGAAAAGTAGCTATAAGCAAAAGATATCACCTAGAGAAGCTAGTGGGAACATATTCAGAGCTTCAAATGTGGATGTTTGAAGCCTCATCTCACTGTACACAATAGAAATTAAACCATAAAAATAGATGAAATACCAGACTAAAGCAACTCGCTGTCCAATTTACAAATTGAACAAACAAAAAGCTATCAAATGGAAGATTCGACCTTTACTCGTCTTTCAGAGGTTCTGTACTCAATTTCGCCCTTAGTTGAAATCATTTCCATTAGACTCTGTTCTTCTTGCATCTTCAATTATCCCGGTGCAGACAGTGACGACAGCCTCTCGACGGTAGCAACCCACGATGACGGAAGGCAAAGCACAATTGAAAATTCCAAATCAATTACCCCAAAAACAAACCCAAAATTCATTCCCAAACAATCAATTCCACTTCCGATCCCAAAAAATTCATAACAATCTAATAACCATATTCACAGATCCAATCATCAATTGAAAAAGTATATATCAATGAACCCTAATCTACGAACCGATTCTAATGATAGATAATTCACTCACCTGGCTGGATTAATTGAAGAACAGAAATCCCAAATCGAAGTTAAGATGGAGTTGAAATTCACGGTCGATCCTGCTACCCATGACTGGTGTCTCGCCTTCCCGTCCTCTCTCGTAGATACGGTCAAGGCGACAGATGAGGTAGCTGAAGAAGAAGGCATGATGGCGATGGAGATGAAGAACCTCGGCTAACATCGGCTAAGTGGGATGGCATAACATTGGCGATCTCCTTTTTACATGTATAGAGATATATACCACTATATTTGTCCGCTTTTTATTTTTGGAACTGTTTATCTAAGCACTTTGATTCATCAAATTCTCTCAATGTGTAAGCCTAAATATAGTAATATGTGATCTTGTTTGATTTGTCTTAACATATAGATTATTAATATATAATTTCTATAAATTTTTAATATACAAATTACAAGATAAAATGGATTAAATAAGTGCATTGGATGGTATGTAAAAATGAAAGTGGACAAATACTCTGGGACGGAGGGAGTACTAAGTAAGAACGATACAACATAAAGAGGAAGAAAGATCCAAATACGATTAAAAGTTTGAAAATATATCAAAATAAGACTTCCATGTTTTAATCTCAAAATAAGACTTACATTACGAACCATGGTCATATACATTACTAAAAAAGCATAGTAATTTGTACATGTACACTGTCACATTACCACAATGCAAGGTCACATGTGCAAAGTTCTATTTCAGAGAAAAAAACATTTAAGTCCTATTTTGGTACTTTTATCTATGTTTTAGTCTTATATAGAATGATTTCTACAACATAAATCAGTGGCATCGCCTGGATAAAACCCGATGTCTTTGCCTTTGTTAAATTATTTAAAAACTTAAAAAAAAAATGGTTTTCGCATTGGTTGTAAAAAATAACCGATGCCTTTGTATTTTTCATAAGTTTCGAAAATTCAAAAATTCCTTTTAGCATCGGTTCTAGTCAACAACCGATGCATTTGTTCATTTTTTTCAAAATAAAAAAATAAAAAAGGTATTAGCATCGGTTATTTTAAATAATTGATGCCATTGATCTATCGCATCAGTTATTGCAAAATGAACTATGTTAATGCCTATTTTTATTTTCCAAATTTTATTTAATACGATCGCTTTTATAAAACAACCAATGCCTTTGACCTTTTGCATCGGTTATTTATTAAAGCGATGCAGTTGAGGGAGTCTTTTTGCCTTTTTTTGTAGTAGTGGATCTCCTTCCCGGCGTTGATGTCTCAGCCGCCGCCTCTCTCTCTCTCTCTCACGACACCTTCTTCCCGCATGCAACCCATCACGCCACTCTCTCTCTAAAACAATCCCGTACAATTCTTCTCTATGGCTTGGGAAAAATCAAACACCCCTCACCTACCCCCATCTTGCTTTCACCGCAATCTCTAATGTTAAACTCCAGTTTCCTATAACCCTCAGTTTTTCGGAGCCGAACTACAAAAATGGAGCCGCCTTTTCCTTCTTTTGGTTCGATGTTTCAACCTTGAACGCTTCCTCACCGGTGAGAAAACCTCAACCGGAAAAGATGACGTCGAATGGCTCCAACTAGACGCCCTTATTCAAGGATGGATTCTCTCCACCGCCAACAATGAGGTATAGGTATCGGATCTCATCATCTCTTCCACCACATCCGCTGCAGATCTTTGGAAATCGATTCATAACCTGTTTCACGATAACAAGGCGGTAAGAGCCATGCAATTGGAGCAAACATTCTTCAACATCGTCAAAGGAACATCTACTATTGCTTTGTATTCAACAATTCTTCAACACCGTCAAAGAAACATCCACTATTGCTTTGTATTGTCAGACGCTTCGAAATATTGCTGATTGGCTTGACGATGTCGATGCCCTAGTCAACAAGAATCAACTTGTCTTGCAACCCCTACGAGGCCTCCCGGAGGATCTAAGCAATCAAGCCCCGTTCTTACAGTTTCAAAAACCCCTGCAAACATTCATGGAGACCCAACCAGCCCTCCTTCTCGAGGGATAGCGGCGACCTGCCACCAGCGAGGAGAGCACGGAGCTGGCAGCACACGGCGAAGGCGGCCCGGGCTTTGGTGGTCATGGGGGATAGCATCTCGAACTCAGCAGCAATGGACCGCCCCAGGCGTACGGCGGACGGGGATAGTCGCACGGTGGTCACGGTGGACGGCCGACTCGTGGTCGTGGTTGTGGACGAAACGGCGGAACTCACTCTCGGTAGTTCCCTGAGCAGTTTTCTCCTTGGTACATCACTTATCCCTCCCAACATTGGGCTGGGCTTTTTGGCCCACGCCCCAACCAAACCCAAACCTGACCCCAAGCCCATTACACTCAACCTACCTTTTCTACTTACCCAACCCATTTAAGCCCCAATCCTTTCAGCCCACAAAACCCATTCAACCCACAAACCTAGCCCCTATACCCCTCACCCTCCAAGCCCGTCTACCCACTACCCACCCACCCGTCTGCCCTCTACCCGACACCCTCCCCTCCCCTCACCCCCACTGCCCTAGTCCATCAATTTGTCAAAATGACCCTCCAAGAACCCACATGGCTCATGGACACCGGTGCATCCCATCATATCGCCTCCGACCCAGGTACTATTTCCCATGTTTATTCAAAAAGTTTAAATTCACCAACTTTTATCATTGTAAGTAATGGATCCAAAGTGCGCGCCACGGCAGTTGGTAAACACATTTTACCCACCTCTCCACCCTTATCTCTTCATAATGTCCTTTTTCCCTCCACATCATCCACAACCTTATCTTATTTCATGAGTTTACTCATTATAACAATTGTACTATTGAATTTGACTATACTGGCTTTTCTGTGAAGGATCCTCGAACGGGCAACGTGATTCATTGCTCCAATGACAACGGCCCCCTATACCCCCTGCGCCCGCACGTCCCAGTTGCTCAAGCACATGTTGCCTCCATTGACACCCAGACGTGGCATCATCGTCTTGGTCGTCCTAGCCCAGCTGTTTTCCATGCCATTCCCCCTTTATCCGTTTTTAATAATAAACATTTTTACGAAAATTTATGTCATGCTTGTGAGTTAGGGAAACATGTGTGTCTCCCTATTACTTCTTCTAGGCGTACTTCAACTTTTCCATTTCAACTTAATATGCATACTGATTTATGGCAGTTGCCCATACCTAGCATTACTGGTTTTGATTAAACATTATATGCTTCTTCTTGATGATTTTTCTCATTACTTATGGGGTTTTCCCTTGCGTCACAAATCTGATGTTTTTTCTCAATTAACCAAGTTTATGGCTTATGTAAAAAATCATTTTAATACAACTATTAAAAATGTACAATGTGATAATGGAACAGAATACCGTAACACCTCTCTTCAAACCATCTTTAACTCCTTAGGAATTCTTTCCCACTTCTCTTGTCCCCACACAAGCCAACAAAATGGATGTGCCGAATGCATTATCCGAACCCTCAACAACACAAATTGTATAGGATCCATATTACCCCCTCAATATTGGGTCGAGGCACTTCATATGCCCTGCCATCTTTTTAACCTTTTACCCACCACCAAAGGGAAAATGTCCGCTACAGATGGTGACCTAGTCCCCGATCCATCTCTTTATCGGTCCCCTGTTAATGCGCTTCATTATCTCACATTCACTCAACCCGATCTCATATATGCAGTACAACAGTTATGTCTCTATCTTCATGCTCCTTGGATACCCCATCTTACTGCGTTAAAGCGGGTTCTCTGTTATCTACAGGCACCTCTACCCATGGGATCGCTCTATCTCGCAGCTCCTCCGATCAACTTCAGGCCTACTGCGATGCTGATTGGGCTTGTTGTCCTTACACACGATGATCCACATCTGGCTACTGTGTTTTTCTCAAAACAATCTCGTCTAATGATCCTCTAAACGACAAGGAACCACCTTAGATCTAGTGCAGAAGCCAAGTACCAAGCCGTAGCAAATGCTTTTGCTGAAACCAGTTGGATCCGAAATCTTCTACTTGAACTCCATCAACCTCTTCGCTGAGCCACCATTGTTTCCTGTGACAACATCAGCGCCGTTTACTTATCGTCTAACCTAGTGCAACATCAGCGTACCAAGCATGTCGAAGTTGACATTCACTTCGTAAGACAAATTAAAGTAGCACTAGGTCAAGTTCGAGTCCTGCATGATATGTTACCTCTTCCTCTCAGTTCGCAGATATATTTACTAAAGGGATGCCTTCAATTATCTTTACTGACTATCCGCACAATCTTGGGATTCGAAGATCTCCAACGGAGTCGGTAGCATTTTAATTTGTTAAGCATATTTATTATATATGTTAAGTATATTCCTTGTATCAATTATAGTACATTTCATAATTGTATAGGATCCATATTTATTATTTTTTCCTTAGTAACTCCCTCCACTTTGTATATAAAGGGAGGTAGAATCATTGTATCAATTATAGAAAAAAATAATTCTTCAGTTACTTTTTTCAGAAAATAATAATCTGCTCGTTCACAATTTATTTGATCAAACTTTATTAATTGTTAGTCATTAAATATTCAATTTTGTTGGTCTTTTAATAAAATGTTTAAATATTTATTACTTTATTTCATATCAGTTTTCATAAAAAAAATTTGGATATTATCGTATTCAATTTTGTGGATCTTATTGATAAAATTTTAAAATTTTTATTATTTTATTTCATATCAATTTTCCTATAAAAAATTTAAAAATAACTTTATCAAAGTTTATGATTCATTTAATTATGTGGTTATGGCCATAGTTCAATGGTTTTCGATCATATTATTAATGCTCCACATATATACATTATATATATATATATATATATATATATATATATATATATATATATATATATATATATATAATAGTTAAGTGATTTCTCTTTTATCTAAATAGGATTAAAACATAATGACTTTTCCAATATAGGACCATATGTTTTTATTTTCCCAATGTAGGAACTTTGGTCATTATCAAGTGGGGATAGTCATTATTCAACTAAATGTTCATCATTACTGGACATTATTCCTTCCACTAGGTCATTATTAAGTCCTATTTAAGGAATAAAAAATTTTAAATCCTAAATTAAGAAAGTTATTATGTTTTAATCATATTTAGTGCAAATTTCACACGATATGATGATTTAATTAGAAAGTGAAGTTACAAAAATAAATCATGCAGAATTCAAAAATGATAAGAACTGTTTTAGTGAAGTAAAAGTTAAAATTCTTAAATATTGTATGGATTGGTGTACTATATTTGTAGACGTGGTATTAAATCTCGAGAAATTTACCTAAATAGGAATAAAACATATTGACTTTCCCAATATAGGATCATATCTTTTTATTTCCTAATATAGGACGTTTGGTCATTATGAAGTAGTCATTATTCAACTAAATGTCCATTATTTCTGAACATTATTCATTCCACTAGGTCATTATTAAGTCCTATTTAGAGAATAAAAAAGTTTAAGTCCTACATTAGGAAAGTCATTATGTTTTAGTCTTATTTAGTGCAAATTAAATTTCACTTAAATGTGCATGCATGATATGCATGCTAACATTTTGTTTGGAATTGTGTGGGTGCAAATGTATGAATGCAGCAGGTGGCTGATGACTATGTTTTGGTGAAGATATATCACAAGAACA